TGCTCACGGGAACACGGGTGCGACTCTTTAATGAGACCCATCCCGAGCCTGACTTACCTCCTCAGGCGCCTCCAGCTGATTGTCATTGGGTCCATGCTCAGTCTTGTGAGTGTCTGGGAAGCACGGAGTTTGTCACAGTTTTCAAGCCCCAAGCTGGCGAATAAAGTTCCGATTGAACGAGGCGTTCGTGTCCAAGTGCATCCTACCCCGACACCACGGGTTGTTCGAGTGGCTTTTTGGAAGGTACACCAGTAGTAGTAGCAGTAGTAGTAGTTGCACGAAAGGGGATCAAAACTTCAAATCGTGCCATCTCAGGCCAGGTCACTTTTATCGCAAGCCAGCCAAAGATGCCTGCCATTTGGCTGCACCGAAGCCCGACACCCCAAGCCCTTGCCTCAACCCCCGAGACGTTGCGAAGTCGATCTGTTGCATCTCCAGGCTTCGAGTGCTTGTTCGTGGATTGGCAAGGTAGCAGTAGGAGTGGGATTAGGAGTAGGAGGAGTAGTAGTAGTAGTCGTCGTCGTAATGGAAGTACCAGTAGTAGGAGGAGAACAGGAGGAACCGCAGCGGCAGGAAGCAACGGAATAGGTGTCATAGTGTCAGTAGCAGCTGTTATATCTCCGCTTGCCGAAAGCTTTGATGCATTCTCAAGCAGGCAGATTTCAAGGACATCCTTTTACGTAAGCATGCTTCACATGTTCAGGACCGGGCTATGTCGGCTTTGCGAAAGGCACAGGCCTGATGCAGCAGTCAGACAGTCAGGGTGATGATGAAAATTCCATCGAACAGAGAGCGGCGGAGACCGAACGACCGAGAGACACAGGGACAAACAGTCCGATAGATTGGCAACACAGGCAGACAGGCAAGGAGACACTCATAAACGCCTACATCACAAAGCAATCATAAAAAAACCAGCACGCACGTGATATGTTTGCCTGCGTATCCACACCGGTCATGTATGCATGCACACACGTACAAGCACGAGCTCACACAGACTCTGTGTATCTCCATTCATAAATACAAGGTTCAGGTAGTCGTATTTGTTCGTTCCGAAGCATCGCTTGCACTAGGGAGCGCAGGGAGTCAATTATGTGATCAGAGCCTTCGACTTGCCGGAAGGACCTGGAATCCGAGGGGCAGTCGGATGTTGGAAGACTGGAAGAGATCGTGGAGGCCGGGTTCAGACGGTAGGTGGGTTAGGGTCTGGGGTTTAGGTTCCGGGATGAGCTTTTAGAGTTGAGGGGTATGAGGTTTTGGTCCGATGAGCCAGACTTGTGCATTCAGGAACATTCTATCTGGGCTTGTCGGTCTCTCGATGTTGAGTTTGAGGTTCGCTGTAGGTTGTGAGACAGCACGGCGGCAGCTTTGGAGTGCTGTGGAAGCACTGGGTCACTGTGTAGCGTCATGTGCTCCCTTGCACCCCAGAGCGGTTTTTGATTCAGTCTAAGCCATGGTCCGCCGCAAGCTTTTCTTTTTGCCTCGGCAGGTCCAAACCAACCTCCACACCAAAGCCTAAGCCCTGAACCCTACAGCCACAACAGTAAACCCTTACCACATCATCGAACCCTTATGGCAGCCCTTATAGCAACTCCTTTACAGTAAACCCTTTCAAAGATAAATCCAACTCCTACCCGCTAAACCCTAAACCCCGTAACCCTGAAGCCTAAATCCTAGTGTCCTAAACCCTCTACCCCATAATAACCCTGAGCCGCCTCCCTAACCTCTCAAGCTTAGGATGACGGCAAGGGCCAGGAACGTGGGAGAGTGACACAGGGCGAAAAAGTGGAATATCAGCCTTCTCTTGGAGGGATTCTAGACTCTGTGCAGTTTGGAAAGGCGTTCAACAAAAAACCTTAAACCCTAACATCAACCAAGGCCCCGAAATGCAATACCCTCTAACCCGAAATCCCATACCCTTTAACCCTGAACCTCAAACCCTAAACCCTAAATCTTAAGATTTCTCCAAGCGAAGCCTCCGTCGAGGCCCTCCGGCAAGAGTCTCTCGAAGCCTGGCACTCAGCGGTCGGAATAATCGGTAATAGTACCCGCTTATAAGCCAATTAGTATCTTATGTAAGAGACATATATATACATATACATACACACACACATGCACAAAGCACATAGATATAAGTATACAGTATACATATAAACGAAAAAGCAGACACGGGTCTGACACATGTGTATATGTATGTAGATATAATGTATGTACGTGTGTATGTATGTACATATATATATATATATATACACATACATATTACGATTATATGTGCATCAACATATAGGCACACATAGTGCATCTAAATATGTGTTTACATTTTTACAGATGTACATTGTGCATATACATTGTCAGGTATAGTTTCACATAATGGCATCCCCTGGTAGTCCCTGGGTATTTATAGACATGAACAGTATACTCTACAGAACGAAAGACTAGAGAGGTCAAGAGCTCAGGGTTTAGGAAGAGACCTCCGGCCCCGCTTGCAAGGATCGTGATCATGATTCTTGTTGCCTCCAGATGTTGGCATTACGTTTGTGAATAGTTCCTGTTCCATATGTGTTGCTACTAAGCCGGTGACCATCGTTGTTTAGGGTTGTTTCTAACTGTTTGGGCTGTTTGCTTTCCCGTCGGGCAAGAGGCGATGAGTACGTCGCGTCTCTTGCTTATTCGTGTTGCTGCTGTTGCTGTTGAAGTTGTTGGTGCAGTCGGTGTCGTGGTGCTGGCGGTCGTCGCTGTCGTGGCTGTCTTTGCTGTTTTCATCAGTATTGCTGATCTACTTTGGCTTCTTATGTTTTTCTCACGGTTGCTTTGACCTTCTCAGAATCATGGCCATGGCTCTTGCATTTTCTTTGGCTGTGAATATTAGTGCCGTGGTGATGATCGCGCTTCATAGCTTTTCTCCGCATAACCGCTTTGTCTGTGGTCTAGGCTGTCGCAAGAGGACTGCAAGCCGCCTAACCGAAGAAGAGTGCTCATGCTGCACCTCGACGGATCCATCGACCGTGTTGGCCTGATGCCGTGCCCCCGCAAGAGCCAAGAGCTGAAGCCATCATCTTCCCCACCTCTGCAGATATTTATGTGTGTACATGTATAGATGTATAGATGAATTTTTTATGATGTATGTATGTATGTATTTATGTATGTACGTATGTATGTATTTCATGTATGTTGTCTTTTGTCTTTGTCATATGTGTAAGTATATACATAGACATGACATTTCTCACATTTGGGGCGTAGAGTCTGGTGCGACGCGGCCCGTTTTGGGATGCACCCAATTAAGTTGCGGCGTGCGGACCAGAAATCTGACTGTAACCAGTGTGGACTCGCACGAGGAAACGGGATTGAGCCAGCAAAGGAAAAGCTGTCCCGTTCCTAATCAAAAAATTGCCGGCATTCCATGCGCGGTGGGAAGGAGGACCAGGAGCAAATAAGCACATCCAAAATTGACTGTTCGGTTGGGACCTACGAAGTGCAGGGTATTCCTCATGGGTATCGGATGAGGCCATCCCTACACTGTTTACATACCCAAGATGTCAAAACACCTGCAACGAGGTGATATAAGGACATCAAACACTGAGCCCGTAAGCTATTCGCGATCTCACCGGTACGCCATTAAGCCAACGGGCTATACATCCTCGTGTTTGTTCCCACTGGCCTGTTCACTGCTTCTCGTCCGACCCATCACCCTCCGGCTTACCGAAGCCTTTGATGTCGGTGTTGATGCTCGTGGAGGTGAGCATGCCCTCCCACTCACGGTGGTAGGGGACGTCTGCCTCATCTTGAAACATGAAGGCTACGTTATTGCCCCATGTATCGCCTTCTTTCTTGCTGCAGCTCACGATGTCGGTGAAGATGTTTCCGATCCAACTAGCACTCTCCCACACTGTGTAGAAAAGGCCATCAGTCACATCTTGATACATACTCATGACGCCCGCGTAAAAGCCGTTGGTGTTGCTTGCGGCCTCACAAGGCACCTTTCTTCATGATGTGGGTGTGGATGCCGCATGCCGCCGGTCTGCTTCCTGCATTCCCAATCCTCGTTGCTAGGGCCAGGGCCATCTGCTTCACCGTACAACTTGACGACAAAAGATTCTTCTGACGCCCCGCCCTCCAGCCTGCCGCAGCTCATGATGCCCAGGTGAATACCAGTGGTCAGCATTATGCTCACGTACTGCTGGTGATGATGGCCATTTGCCCCCTCGTTGATGCCCATTTTGTCCCGGAATGTCGCCTTTTCCCAGCCAATGGTCTGTGATGCCGCCATCGCAAGCATGATGAGCATCAGGCGAACTCGGCTCGTGACGTTCCCACTTGCAGAAGTAGCAGCAGTTTTCGGGAACTGGGGTCACAGCTATCAGGCGCGCTAGTGCACCATTCGATCCGGACCCTATACATATAGATATACATATATGTATATGTATGTGTGCATCGATATGCGGCCGGCCTTGCAGTCCTCGTGGATGTGACGTGGGGTGCTACAAGCGCCTGAGGCTTCTGGGAAGGGGTAGTCCCCCGCAACGGATGGCCGAGGGTGGTGCTACATGGTCGGGTGGGGGAACGACGAATGCGAGCTTCCGCACTTGCACGGACCCCCGTCGATCCCAAGACCTGAAGATGCCTAAACTCTGAACCCTGATTCCTCCGGTTCAGACCTCCACCTGCCGAAGTCAGGCTTGTCTCTCTGCTTCGGAGAATGATCCGGAAGCGCTGGAGCCGACCCCTAAGTACGATAAAGTGCAGGGATGAAGAGTTTGATTTTTCCGGTTACTTAAACGGGAATTAATACGGGAAGGGGGCTTTGGGTTTGGGGTTTGGGGGAAGTTACAAGGGTTTCGGCTTTGGGGCTTGTTTTGGGGGCTGGAGCTGAGGCGGTGCCGAGTCCTCAGCTATGAGCTAAACTCCGCCGAGCAGCTGCTTTTCAAGCGTGGGGAGCCAAGTCTACTGGGCTTCAAGCCGTTAAGGCACCAGGGCCCTAACGCCCGAAGACTTTTGGACTGGTGTTGGGTTGCATGAGAAGGTTGAGAAGGTTGCGGGGCTTGCAGCGCGAAGTTTTTGTGCCTTTATTCTGTTTTCTTGACCGACTTTGTCAAAGTTAGCAGCCGGTTTTGTCCATGGCTTTCGCGCAGCTGCTTGGCCCGAGCTGTTCATGACAGGGTGCAAGGTGTAGGGTGGCTCAGTCAGCCAGCAGGCAGGGGGCTGGAATGTTTTCGCGCTTAGTTGTTTTGCAGAGTTCAGGTCTTCCAAAAGGCATTCAGGGCAGCCGGCTGCAGTCAGCGGGCGGTTTCGTGAGTTCACCAACGCTGCGGGCGAGGATCCAGATCGTCCTGGGTCCTCCTCGCGCCGCGTGCAGCCATGGCTGACCGACATGGTCCATTCCACGCCCTTGTCCAGAAGCTAGAGGAGCAGCATGAGAAGGAGGCTGGCACCGTCTGCTTCAGGGTTAGACCGTTCGACTAGGTCTCCGCCAGGGTTTGATGTGTTGCCACATGTCATCACGCATGACTCATGACCATAGACCTGGCAGAAGCACGTGCGTGTTTGTTTTTTTGGAGGGGTCCTCCGTGTCCTCCTTACCGCTGCAGCCGCAGATGCACACACAAACGCACAGTGTGCACATGCATGAACACACGGACAGGCACTGTTAATTAGGGAAGGGATGGATGTGCGGATGGATGGATGGATGGATCAGGGAGAGGGCTGAGAGGGCTATGACTTGAAACCCCCCCTTGGTCCTGTGGTAATATCGAGCTCTCCTGACCATGTTTTGCACGGCCCCTGTATGCAACAGTTCCCAGACTGTCCACTGCACATGAAGCCCAGCTTACACGCATGCGTTGGACTTCTTGGTGAGAGCCGGGGGGTTTGCCTCCATGGGTTGCCTACAGGTCCTGCTACTTTTGCTGCTGCTGCTGCCGTGGCTACATATATAATATAGCATCTGTCCGAGTCTCCGGTTTCTAGGCACTCCTGGCTTATTCGGGTACGGTGTCCGCAGGTGGCAGATCTCAAAGCCACGATTGGGCGTTTGGAGGCGCCTAGCACCCTTGGCTTTTGCCCTAGGCTTGGGCTCCCTGAGCACGGCTCTGGCCTAGAGCCGAGCAGCGGACCTGTCACCTCACTTCTCAGAGTGTCGTTTCGTGATGCACGGATGCCGTGCGTGTAGGTTGTCAAGCCGAAGCATTCACACCGAGATGAGATTAGCAGCATCGCGGACTATGTTGGTTTCTCCATATGATGAAGGGTTTTCATGCTTCTCACCCGCACAGTCAAGCGGCTTCGTGCAAGAACGAAGATGAATGCTCTCGCTTGTGATGGGAGGCTGCCGTCAATGCAAAGCACTCGGATTCCGGGGACTCATCGAAGGCAGGAGTGCGTCTGACTGGTCCTACCCCTGCGTAGTGGCTACATGGAGCACGACACATTAGAAGCACTGGTAGAAGCAACGAGGACCGCTGCGGGCTCTTGCCAGTGCCACAGGTACTTTGATGTGGCCAGTACTTTCGCCTTCTAGCTTTCTACCATGCTGTCGTCACAGTTTGCACGCAGGCTGCGTGTTTCGGATCTTGAGCTATCGCCCGGACAACAGGCGACACTCGGCCCGCGAGTTGTGCGACCATCCCCAATCACGACTTTCCACATACGTCGCGGCCTTACGCTGAGGGGTGCTGGTTTATAAAAGCCTTGGAGCAAGAGCGCCCAGGGCATGATCAGCTGCAGTTCAGTTTTAAGCCGTGCTCGTGCCAGCAAAACCAAAACTTCAGCAATAGTCGTAAGCAATGTTGTCAGACGAGACGAAATAGTCAGCAGCTGAACAGCGTTATGAGGAATGATTCATCCAATATCCGCAGAGGTAGTAAAGATTATTTTCCGAAACCCAGTAATCATGCTCAAGGCGCGATTGACACTGATGATTAAGTTCTTGGTTTCGGTAGTGCCAGCGACAAGAGCATTGTTTGCGACAAAAAAGCACAGAGCACATGCACCTCATCAGCATGGTTCCTGCTTGCCGGACTTATTACTACTGCTGCTGCCGTTGCTGCTGTCGCTGCTACTGCTACTGCGACTGCGACTCCGACTGATGCTCCTGCTCCTGCTGTTGCTGTTGCTACGGCTACAGCTGCCGCTGCAGCTGCTGCTACTGCTACTGCTACTGCTACTGCTACTGCTACTGCTACTGCTACTGCTACTGCTACTGCTCCTGCTCCTGCTCCTGCTGCTGCTGCTGCTACTGCGACTGCGACTGCTACTGCTACTGCTACTGCTACTGCTACTGCTACTGCTACTGCTACTGCTACTGCTACTGCTACTGCTACTGCTACTGCTGCTGCTGCTGCTGCTACTGCTACTGCTACTGCTACTGCTACTACTACTGCTGCTACTACTACTACTACTCCTCCTCCTCCTCCTGCTGCTGCTGCTGCCGCGACTACTAGTGCTGCTTCTGCTTCTGCTTTCGCTACTGCTGTTTGCCACGAGTAGTGCCACTAGAGCTTCTACAGCTACCACTATCACCAATACCACGTCTAGCCGTCGCTCATTTCCCACCGTCGCTACACTTCACGATAGCGCGAGCAGAACTACTGACACATGCTGAAGGCGAGCCGCTTCCGGGCGGAGAACAAGCAGTGCCGAAAGAGCACAATGCCTCCGGACTGAGGAATTGACTATGGTGGTGAGTCTTGTCAGTCGCTGCAGCAGATCCGGAATCCTAGATATCATATGTCTACATTTGACATTTGTATACATATATATGTATGTATATATATATATATACACAGTTCATAGATGAAGGTTCCGCAGTGACCGGTTCGCACCAAGGCTTCGGCTTCAGAGGTCACGTCCGCACCCGGCTCCCCGAAGCCGGTGGGTGACATCCAGGAAGCGAGCTCATTTAGGGTTTAGGGTTTCGGGGTTTAGGGTTAAGGGTTTAGTAGTTTAGGGTTTGCGGTTGCAGTTGAGGCAATTGGGGTTTCGAGAGGGTTGCGACAGAGCCGATAGAGTGACATGCAGAAAGCAGCTCATCGACAAATGCAGTTCCCAAGTCCCACGATGTGCATTAAGCTTCGTCTGGACCCGTTTGCCGGACCTCACCTGGTGGGGGTTTGGGGTATTATTACATGTCAGAATGTTTAAACACAGCAATCCGAGAGAAGCGAGAGCTGAGGCATTGCGAGACTCTTCGGTTGTCAGTCTCGTACCTTCCCTGTAGTGCTATAGAAGGTCGGCATACTATGAGTCTCATCTCTTGGCTACGAGGATGTGTCGTTGTTGTTGTCCTCATGTTGCTACCACTGTCTTGCCCCCCTTAGTAGCCATACTATCAGGCTGATTCAATCCTTGTGCTGACTTCCTCCGCCTCAGAGCGAGTCCACACGTCAGAGGGTTCAGGGTTTGGGATGCTCAGCAGGATGTGGCCTCCATCGATGGGCAGCTTGACAACGAGCCGGACTTACTCAAGGCATGTGGAGATCCAGGGGATCAGCAGGTGTCAGTGAGTTCAGGGCGGAAGGAGATTGGGCCTGAGGGAGACTGGGACAGTGAGATGGAGCCAGGGACGCACTTCCGTTTGGTAGCAGCTAGCAGCAGCTAGCACATTGTGGATGACTTCTTCTAAGGCTGCTCTTATGAAGCTGAAAGAAACCACATGTCCCGTACCAAGAGCCCCAAACCCGTGGCACCCGATAAGATAAGCGGGTTTGAAAGCGTCCCAAGTGAAGTTCCTTTGCATGTCCTACACCTGCAACCTACGGCCGAAGCTCTGGACTGTTGGACTATCTACATACAATGCCAGGGAGTAGACTTGCCTTGAGGCCCCTGTAGCATTCGCTATTCAGTATAGTTGCGATGTTTGCTCGTACATCATGTCGCTCCCAGTCGTTCCCAAAACCTGAACTCCAAACCACCAAAGCAATGGGGTTCGAGAGGTTTCGAGAAGACAAAGCCGAAAGTCCCCACGACCGAGCCGCTAGACACCCAGCCCTAAACTGCTAAGCTGCTAAACCCTAAACCCTCAACACGCGGTACCACCCGCAAGTGGAAAAAGGGGCCTCAAAAGCAACAAAGCACCTTAACACCTGGGACCTTCCGAGCCCTTCCCCAGAAGGTTCCCTTGCAGATTCCGCCGCCAAGTCCGGGGGCAGGTCCCCCCGGCAGCCCCGGGGCAGGTCCCCCCGGCAGCCCCAAGGCCTTCCAGCCTCGCAAGTTGAGGGCTTCTTTTTTCGGGTTTTAGGGCTCCAATGGTGTTAGGGGGGCTTCTTGACCTTGCTTCCAAGATGTTGTGTTTGATGGTTTAGGGTTCAAGGTGTGGGGTTCCAGGGTATAGGGCACAGGATTTCGGGTGCCGAACGGTTTCAAGGTTCAAGGGTTCAGGGTTTGGGTTTTGTTCGAGCTGGGTACAAACAAGCTTAATGAGGGATGGGAACAATGATGACAGGAACAGAGATCCCAACACGACGACACCAATGTGACAGTAATTGCAGCTCTCCTCCTCCTCCGCCTCAGCACAAGCAAGCATTGACAGTAGTACGACTGTTTTGAAGCTTGTTGGTAATTCTAGCTCGACGACTGGCAGTAGTACGATGGTGTCCCTCTGGACGGCTTTGTGTGCATGCAAACATGAACATGATGTTCATTTCATCTATGCTGGATTACTCTGATGTAGAACATGTGTATGCTTCTAAATACTTACAATTACTTGTGAACAAAAGTACATACACGCATGCATAAACTACACGAGACAGAAGCAACAAGCTCATCAGCAGCTAGGTGGTTAAACAGGTAGATAGCTAAAACCTAGATAGATGCACAGATAAAGCGGTTGATAGATAGCTACTTATAGACACAGATCGATAGATAGATCGGTAGATAGGTAGATAGATCGATAGATAGACGCATGCGCGCACTCACACACGAACAAGCGCGCAGGCACACAAGCACAGGCATTTAAGTATGTGCGTGCCTGGGCAGGTAGGCAGGCAGGCAGGTAGGCAAGCAGGGAGGCAGGTAGGTAGGTGTAGGTATGCAGGGATGTAATTGAAAGGCGTCGTAGAAGACACAATACGAACATACATGCATACATACATGCAAGCATGCATGCATACATACATGTATGTGTACATACATATGCATATACTTGCATACCTACATACGCACATACGGACCTGCACACATACATACCTACCTACATACGTACATACATACATACCTAAATATAAGTGCACAGAAGCACACGGGCACACGCCCAAATGCACATATATATATATATATACATATACACACACACACACACGTCTACGTAGATACATATACACATACATACATACCACATGTCTAGAGTCATACAGACAGACATATTCACATAATTTCATTCAGACCTAGAGTAGGCTCACACATACAGACAGACCTAATGTAGGTACATACATACGCACATACATGCGTAGACGTGCACGCACACACATAGACTCATGCACTCGCTCACTCATACATATGTACATACATGCATACATGCAGACATATGTACAATATACATATATATATATATATATATATATATATATATATATATACACACATGCATACATATAGGCATGCACACACGCATGCCTGCATGCAGGCCTGCCTACATGCATACGTGAGTACATACCTACGTGCATGCTTGCATACATGCGTACATGCATATCTACATATTCACATACTGCCATAAACACAAACAAACCTTCACAAACTTATTCGCACATAGGTACATAGGCACATACGTGCATACATCAGACATGAATGCATGCATGCGTTTATGCCTACATTCCATGCCTGCCTGGCTTCCTGCTTACCTACTGCGTACCTGCATACATACATACGCACATATGGACGGGCTACGGCTGCACCCTTCCATTCGTGTGTACATACATGCATACTCACATGCATACGGTCATACGCCCACACACACACATGCCAGCACATACCCACATTAATACATACAATATACGCATACCAAGCATACATACATGGATGTATGCTTAAATCGGTACATACGCACATACTTACGCAGATACTTTATATATATATATATATATATATATATATACACACACAAACACATCTGCATCCATCCATCCATGCATGCCTGCATGCAGACATGCGTCCGTAGAATTAGATACACGCATGCATACAGCCATATAAATACATACCCACAAATATGATGGCATTGTACATGCAGCATGCGTGCGCGCGTATGTACACGCGCACGTACAGGCATCCATCCATCCATCCATCCATCCAGTCTGTATCTTCTCGCAGACAAGCGCATATGTGTACTCGTACATACATAAATCGATAAGCACAGATAGAAGTAAGCCAGAGATCAACCGACTAATGAACAAACACACAAGAAGAGATTTACGCGAATGTATATCTTATATATATATATATATATATGTGGAAAAGATATGTATTTTTTTTTGTGTGTGTGTGCGTATACATGTCTACCCTTCATGCACTTGTGTCGTTACTTCAAATACAGCCCAGATGATTGCACACAGTGCCACTCATCTTCCGGACGCATCCAATAGTTTGGTTTTGGTGGTGGTGGTGGTGGTGGTGGTGCTTTCCATTGAGAAAGAGTACATTCAATCTCAGCGCATGCAGAAGCTGCTAGGTCGCAGAATGTCTCCTAAGACGGCCGCAATACTGCTAGTCGATGGCCCGTGCCAGAAGCCCTGCTCTGTTCCAACGAATCTCAGCCATTCAAGCTGCATGTCGTGCGCGAATCTCACACCCTGAACCAAAGCCCAAAGCACTAAGCTGTATTACTATTATTACGGTTATTATTATTCTTACGATTATTACTACTCTTACTATTATTACTATGATTACAATTATTACTATTATGAACCCCGAGCCACAAGGCGCTTCACCAAACCCTGATCCATAAAGTCCACAAGCGAAGGCGTCAGATCCGGTATCCCCGAACTCAATACGCTCAATGACAGGGAGCTCCTGGGGCTCAACTCCGGAGCTTAAGGGCCTTGTTTAGGGTTTAGGGTTTAGGGTTTAGGGTTGCAAGATTGTTTAAACGTCTTTGAAAGTGTTGCGAGAGGTCAGAATTCCTTGTCTAGGGTCTTTTTGTTAATGCAGTGTCTTAATATAGTAGGGCGTAGGGATGTCGTGCTGAAGAAGAAAAGGAAAGTTCTTTGGCTCCAGCTTTTGCTTTGGGTCAGGGCTCTGCTGTTGGCTAGCGTGGACGCTCTCTGCAGCTGTCTTCCTGTTTCCTTGATTACTTGATTACTGTTGTCGGCCTGGCTTGGACCATCCTCACCCCTCCACATCTTGAAGCCGTAAACACTAAGCCCCAGGAAATCTTGGGAGTCAGGATTCGCTCCCCCTACCCCGAATTTGAAAACCCCAAAACCAAACAGCCACCAAATCCGATTCTGCAGCGTGCACGGCAAGTGCTGCCGGCTTACACGGAGAGCTCTACTCGCCGGCTTGAGGGCTTCAAAGCTTCAGGTTTAAGGTTTAGAGCTTCGGACCATGGCAGGGTGGCTTTAGGTTTTGATGACGCCGGGCTTCAACAAGTCAATATCTGAGCTTCCTCAGTTCGAAAGCCATTCTTTTATGCTCTCCTGCATGTTTTCGATAGACTTATTTGACATGTGGTTGGGCCACTACCTTACAGCATTTGGTGAAGGTTCGGGCTGATGAAGAGAAAGGGGATTTTCAAGCTTCGTGATTGCCATAAGGGGCGGTTGTGATGGCAGTGTTTTTCTTAGGCAGTGGTAGCCAAGAGTAGCAGTATCAGTCGCATCATCATCAGCAGGAGTAGCAGTGGTGGTAGTGGTAGTGGTCGTGGTGCTTGTCGCGGTGATGGTGGTGGTGGTACCACATATTTCCACCCTACTACCACGACGACTACTACTTCCACTACTGCTGCTACTCTAGATGCTGCTGTTTCTAGTTCGACGTCTTCTACTCCGACTATCAGCACAGCCAGTGCTGCGGAGCTAATGGAGCATTCCGTCTGGTTTGTATGCGGGTTCCCAGGCCTAAGGATTCTAAGCTCCAAAGATTCTCGGGGGTGTCAAGGGGCACCAGCCACGGTGAGTGCCGATGCGGCGAGACCTCCTTTCTTTGTGGCGCTTGGGGCAGGTGGTGTCCCCTTCAAAGCAGACTATCATTGAAAAAACACTCAACCATGTCCCATTCCGAACATAAGTCCCAACCTGCAGCCGGATGTGCCGCTTCACTCAACTGAGGTTTCTCGCTGATGTCACCCAGGCCCAGCCAGTCTGAAGAACCGCCGGAAGAGGTGCGCTTCCGTGGGCTCTCTGCTGTATAACTTCGTGTACGTATAACCGACAAACCTAACTGCCCGACAGAGTGCATCTCGACAGAGTTCTTCCGCTTCCGTTCAAGGGTGGCGTAATCCGATGCTGTCGAAGAGCCTCGTTCGCGGTGTTTAGAGAAGTAGCACGCAGGCTAGTAGCAGCCGTTTGTGCCATCCATGTTAAGTTAATCGCTGGCCGGCGTGTGGTCTGAAAGACTCGATGCGATGTAGGGTCCAGAGAGTGCGGTTTGAATCCCATCACCGAGAACTGTGAGCCCTGAACCGCCAGGAAGCCAGGACACTCATCCAGAAGATCAAGAAGTTTGTGCGAAGCGATACTTTCGATCTCGTGGTCGGCCTTCTAGTGTCCGGACATCATTAACTCAGTTCTCCTGCCCTGCCAACTTCCGAGATGCCTTCGGTTCAAGGTGCGTTGGCTCTGGCTTTGGGTAATATCATGAAAGCCCTCAGTCCTCGGGTCACCTGGCAGTTCTTATCACCATTGCAGTCGAGATGACTCTCACAATCAGTATCACTCTGTTACATCTCCGTCATTGTCATGACTATCACCACCACCATTGTCGGGTTCCCCCTCGTCTTCATCAAGGGCCTCACCACCATGACTATCATCGGTATTGCCTTCCTCTTCATCATTAGCAGCATCACCACCGTCATGGTCATCTTCACGTGATTGTTTTCCTCGTACCTCGCCAGCCGTCACCTACACCTTTCACCCATTCGCCACCACGACAGTGACCACCAGTGCAACTTCAGAATCTGCCTGGTTGATTCTTCCCAGGAAAACTTCAAAGCCACTGTTTCCGTGCCTGTTGCTACCGACATGACAAATCCGCGGTCACGGTCTTGACGCGCTTTTCTTTGGAGTGAGTTTGTGTGTCTCGTGTTGGTACTGCTGTTCGCGGTTGTCTTCAGCGATGATGTTTTGATCGCGCACGTAGCAGGAGAGAGACTTCTCCGTGCTTTACGGCCGAGGTAAGACGGCAGTAGGGCTTCTCAGACGAAGGGGATTGCAAGCTTGCGCATCGGTTTTACCAAGGTGACCTTAAACTTCTTGACCATGGCGATGGAGTCGGGGCCTCGATTGAGGATTGATATGTTTGGGTTTGCACTCCCTGTGAGTTGGGTTTTCGGGGTTGGTTCTGAAGTTGGTCATGAACCCTAAACCGCAGGTTGAGGGCTTTCACTTACCATGACTGTCTGGCAGTCATCGAGACAGCGTGGAAGAATGAAAGTGCGGGCAACCGCTTGATCCTGGTTTCCACTTGAGGGGTGTTTTACATGGGGCTGTTCATTTTTCGAGCCCAAGTCCACAATGATATTGCTGCTCAGTTGGGGGGGTTTTGACGGCCTCCGTTCAGCTGGACCGCCACGAGGATGTGCGGGACCCCCCGGTGCTAGAGTGCCAGGTGCACCAATCCTGGGAATTTCCGGTGTGGGAATCTCGACCACTGCGCGAGCCTGCCGTCACTTTGTGAATCACCGGTGCTCGAATCCAGATCGCCGGTTCGCGAAGAATTGATTCACAGCAGGAATCGCGTCTTTCTCTAGATCGCGGATCAGTGCGATTCGACCGCAGCATAAGCGCGATGTTCAAGCACCCAAAGCGTGAACCTTACAATGCCACACCGACCCATTGAAACCCGCCAAACCCTATTGTAGGGGCCTAAATAATTACCAATACTGTTTTGGGGATTCCTGATTATATCTATAGTACAATGGGTCTCAAAACCTTATTTTACTTCTTCAGGCCCCTGTCTTGCAGCCAGAACTCTTCAGGCTGCAGTACGCCGGACTACAGTCTGGCTACGTTCTCTCCATCCGGTTTTTTGACCAGCCGTCAGCTTCGGCATGGCCCTGGGCCGCGGACTTTTTTCAGGCGCGCAAGTAATCTGAGGGGTCGCGCATTCAGGGCTTTCAGGGGCCGACGGGAGCTCAGACTACGTCCCGCAAAATGGAAGACCTATATAAATGTGAGTAAAACCCCCAACTACTTCTGAGAAGCTCCATCTTAAGCTTCGCCAGGTCATGCGCACCATTTTCCTTGTATTCTTCACGTCGGAGATCTTGCTCAGGTGCCTCAAACCATGATGCAAGCCCCTGTTGGGTTTTTTTAGAACAGCTTCGCATTCTGTGCATTCTGGTTGCCTCCCAACGTCTGATCGTTGCAGCTATCACCCGTCTATTTTTTCGGGTCTAGGTTCTGGGGTCATGCCAACATCTGGTATGATGGCGACCGGTACATACACATACCGTCAAGCGAAGCCAGTCATGTATCCGCGCATGTAGGCCTAAATGCAGGCAGCAAACCAATGTCAAAATGGCTCACCACTTTCTGGAAAGACTCGCTCCTAAACCTTGTCGTAACCTAAGAGGACCTAAACCGTAAGATGCCCATTTTCAGACACGGCAAGACTTGACCGCCACACAGACTCGAATCCAGAAGTCTTGTGCTGCAGCAGCAACGATGTGAACAAGTTCGGCAGTGCTGGGGGGCAGCCTGTGTTGCAGCAACATTGCTGCCACCATTATCTTACACCTGTTGCCGGAAAGTAAAACAGCAAAACAGGGCCCGAATGCTTGGTAAACTTGTTTCTTTGATATTCCCAAAATCACTCTGGCGTCGTGGACCTATTTCGGATATATAGACCCTATAGAAGCCTGTATATAAGACGACCTAAACGACCAATTCTGAGCGTGGGCTTTGTTCTGAGAAGACGCCCCGCCCTCTAAAATCCAGACCCCAGCATCGACTCATGCAACGTCTTTTCATAATAGCAGTAATAACTCTTATTATAATAGTAGTAGAAGTAGCAGTAGCAGTAATAATATCCGCCCAGAGCCCGATGCCTAATTTCTGGACCTAAACCAAGAAGCTCGAAGCCCTACACTCGGCGCCCCAAACCCTAAGCGCCAAAAACTCCGAGGTTCCTGTTTCTGAGGGCGGCGTTCTTCAAGACTCCCTTCAACGTTATCGACTTTGTCGCTCTCTTGGCCTCTTTGGTGGAGCTGTTCTCGTGGAACTTGCCGGTGGATCCCACTCTCTTGCGTCTTTGCCGTCTCGCGAAGCTGTTCAGGAGAGATTTGGGATGGGCATGTGGTTTTGGGTTCAAGTCCAACGGTTTAGGTTAAGGAGCCACATTGACGACCGATTCAAACATGATACTACCGGTGCCTTGACGATTACCTATACTATTTTGGGGGTTCCTTATTGTAATGATAGTATAATGGGCCCACAAAGCTGTATTCTAATTATTAAGGCCCCAAAATCGTGGCCTTGTCCCCAGAGCCGGTGAAGCTGAAAGGACGATCCGCGTGTTGAAGGTTTCTGGCATGCTGGACTCGCTGAGCCTTCTCGCTAGATGATTCTCGACTCCATCAGGGGTTTATGGGCTTCAAGGGTTATTTCAAGGCAGCAGTTATTGCCCGTATAAGGGGTACTACAAGGCTTACGGCAAGCGGAGTTATGCGGGTTAGAACTACGAGGGGACCAGGGCTTTTTGGACGATCGAGACCAGGGCACTAGCTGGAGTATGTGCTCCGCTACTCTTCTTGCTTCTGGAACCTGAGAGCTCTTCCAGATGTCATCATCACATCCTTAGGTCTCGATGTTAACATCTGAATCCCCATATCGACACCCTGAATCCACGACCTTAAGCTGCGTGAAGCCACAGGCATGCGCGCTACACTCATGACCCGAAACATGCTAAACCCCTGAGCCCCCGGATCCGAAAATGAGTAAAACATTGGGAAACCCTGAGCTCCCCACCCTCCCTCCTTCTAAACGCAGCCTGAACTCGACACCCAAAAGCTTCTCAAACCCTAAACCCGACATCCACAAGCTTCTTAAACCTTCAACCCCAAACCCAAAAGCTTCTTAAACCTCAAACCGAAGCGCGAAAGCCTCTCCATGCAAGGCATGAGTTCCAGTGGGCTCACCCTTGTATGGCTGCTTGCTTTGGCGAAGAGAATTTCCGGCTTTCAAGCTTTACACCGTTTTCGTGTTTAGAGTTTTCATGCTTTGGAGGTCTGTTTCCATGTTGTGTCGGGTTTTCCAGAAGTTCAAGAACTCGAAATACTCGAACATGCATCAAAGAAGGGTGTGCCATCAGCTGAAAGAGGTCGAATTCCCTGCAGGCGGGTAGAATTCGATGACCAGGCTGCCGCACATGTCCCGAATGTCGACTGTCATTGAAGCCAAAATGGGTAGTTGTCAAAATCATGGTCCCTTTTTGGGTCCTTGTTATAATACGGCGCCTAATACTTAGGGTACCCCAAAAGGGACCCTAATTTTGAACACTACCTATAGTAACAATGACTTCCAGGACCTCGAAAAACAAGCCATGTGTGATGGACAGCATCATGGTGTCATCCACGTCTCGGACTGATCTATATCATGATTCCCATATTTCAGTGTCATGCTGGATGTTCATCCACAGTAGGATGCCGAGATAATCTGCTTTTGCTGAGTCTCTGGGATCACTGTCTGAGGTCTCTGCTCTTCCTCTTGGTGATCCAGCTCATCGCTGCCATGATCGTTTGTTTCATGGTACGGCCTTACCTGGAGGATGGCCCGAACCCGAAGCCCTGAACCACTAAAGCCCCTAATCCACGAAACAGCGCAATATACCCCCATACCCAATCTCCCAAATCCTCTCTAACTCTAAGCCACCAGCCGCCGTAGTAGCTGGAGGATGTCAACGAGCCTGAAGAGCGACGCCAAGAAGTGTACAAGTACTACGGCAGCTTGGCCACAACCGAGCTGGCCTGAAGTTGATCTTCAGTGTGAGCTAAAATACTCGTAAGATGAGCAACAGTCCGGCGGTGACAACAATCAAAGGCAGACCCACTCGTCGCACTGGTCGTCATGGTGTCTCTTTCTGTATTTGCGGTCGTGGTGTTCGTGGCGACGGTTCGCATAATGCCATCAATCGCAATCGCTACATAATGGTAACAATGCCATGGCCAAGCTAGATGTTGGAGCAGCAGTACCAGCCGTTGTGATGGCACCTGAATGCTTGGTAGCTAGCTAGGTAGAACCTTATGGTTGTTCACCAGCACAGATGCCCTGCACAACTTGGACATGTACAAATATGACTTGTTCTCGCGTGGTACGGCATAGTCGTCAGTGTTTGTGGTTTTCCTCGCGACATATCGCGTGATATAGCTACCATCGAGAAATGTATTCACTGTCCCATACCACACTCAAAACTCATCACCCTGTTAACATTCATGTGAACCTGCTGCTGGTGTGCCCTCGTTGTAACTATGCTGACGCCCCTGCGAGTCTGGATACTGGAGGTCCAGTGCTTGTTTAAAAAATGCTAATGCCATCCATGATGTTAAGATTGAGCCCCAATCCTATAATCCCGCGTGAACGGGCACCGGGCCTCGCAGTATGTCTCCCACTCGCGACATGGCAGCTTCTCTATGACAGGCACCTTCACCATTGCAGTGCTCACCCTCTTCGAGGCTTGAGCCCTGTGAACTTCGAAAGCCGGCATTGTATGGGAAAGCAGTGGCTGTTCTGTATTCGGGACACTTCGAAGGCTGGAAAACCCGACTCGTCAAGAAACGCAAACGGCCGAAAAATGGGAGGTGTTCTTCGCAAATTGGGCTCCAGCCTGCCGCGTCCTGGTCGAGAACATCTCCGAGTGGTACTCGCTACTCGGAGAAATCGGGCTTGCTGCGAGGTTCAAGGTCCTTTTCTCAGGGTTGATGGCTCATGTCATTTTTGGGCCACGGGAGCGGGCCCTACCTCGAATCCTGATAGCGCTGGAGTCTCCAAATGGAAACCCGTCATTTCAAGACGACGCTGCATATCCGCGAGCAGCTCAAAGCTCAGGCTTCTCTTCCTCATCTACCGATGCGGCATCGGCTTCGCCGTTATCAATGCATCTTGCCTGATGTCGTGTCGACGCTGCAGAGCTGCGTTCATACAACTGGCTGTTTGCACAATGCAGAGACTGTTCAACTCGACCGAGGTCGTCAATGCCGTTTTCGTGCAGCAAACAATGCAAGTTGCAAAAGGTGACGAAGAGGTCTTGCTTTTGGAAAAACAGAAGGCCGAAGAGAAGTACATGAAGAACGTGGGGAGAATCTTCCAGACCCTGGATACATCTGGAGATGGACTTCTCTCCTGGGCGGAGTTCGAAGTCCTCCTTCAAGCCTGCGGGGCTGCAAGAGATGTGCTACTGTTCGGGTTGCTTCTGTTGGTCATAGTACTGCTGCTAGATTGCTTACCACCACCACCACCACCGCCGTGGCGGCCGCCAGCACCAGCACCAGCACCATGCATGCCCAGGTCTAGACTTGTGCAGCTCAATTCCCGGGCTATAGGTCTCCTTAACCCGCTCCTGTCAGACAGGCTTCCAGGTGCCCGAGTGGCTAAGCGAGGCTCCCTTCTTTTTTGCCCAGGATAGGAAGCTGAAGTTCCTCCTGGACAAGCTCGAGATTGCTGCGGGGGACCTGAAAACACTCTTCGATCTCTTGGACGACACCGGCGATGGCGAGATCTCTGTGGCTTTGCCAAAACCGGAAGCCTTGAGGCTTGATCCGACAAGCTGGAAGGAAGCTACTATAGGGGCCTTAATAGCTACCTACACTATTTTGGGGGTTCCTTATTATATTTATAGTATAATGGGCCGCCAAACCCTACTCTAATTATTAAGGCCCCTACAGTAAACCCCCAAGCATCTTCTTATCTGCTCCAGTCAATCCTGCACATGCCTGCATTCACACAGCAGGAGAATTCACGAAGACTGGCTTTCATGAAACCCTGAGCTAAGGTTGAGGAATTCCTTGAGGGCATTACCCGCTTCAAGGGGGCGGCGAAGAGCCTTTGCCATAGTTGGGTAGCATTTTACATTTTTATGAGTACTTAGACTTAAACCCAATAAGGAATAAACATCAAAATTTTTTAATCCTATCCCAACCATGAACTAGGAGTCTCGACATCGGTCAGCTCCTTCTCCGCAGCCGGCGACTCGAGAAAGGGATGCTAGGTGGCACTTTGGAAAACTTTAGAATTTCCCCTACGGTTCCTATCATTCCCCTTATGGCTCCTATAGAGGTACCTAATGCATACATACTTTTATATAAGGGCCCCGAAACTACAACCCAGGATGGCGAACTTGGAGCTCCACCTCCTGCCGGAGGAGAGCTGAGGGCAGTCGGGGTGTATTGAGGGGACTCCAGGGGTGTACTATAGGGGCTTAGATAGTTATTTATACTCTTTGGGGGGTTCCTTATTAGAATCCTATATTATTTAGGGGTTCCTTATTAGAATTCTATACTTTTTGGGGGGTTCCTTACTAGAGTTGTGGGATTATGTACCCCAAAACCCCATGCCAAATACTTATAAGGTCCCTAGAATACTGAGGGGTCTGGTGGGCATCTGGGCGGACGTGAACCCTCAACCTAGGCCCAGGCCTGAGTGACTGAGTCCCAGCAGGAGCTGAAGACCAGCAAGACCGGGCGATCTCACTCAGCGTAAATGAATGCAGAGGCCGCATGCTGGGAAGAGCTGTGAAGTTTTGCACTGCAGTTCGCACGCCACGTCTGCTGGATCTGACCAGCACTCCTGTCAGGGAAGCCAGGGCGTTCTGCCCGGACTGAACTTGCGATCTCAGAGGTACAAAGTCCCAGTAGTCAGTCATTTCATATCTGGGCAGCAATAGAAGGACGCGGTCGCCAGGTCTGTTGCCAAGCAGCTTTTGAAACCAGAGAATTAATTTTCTTCCATGTGTTGAGCACACCCCTACTGAGAAGCAGCCGGGGGTTCCGTCAGCCACTACTTTGGCTGTATTGATTAGTGTTACAAGTATTGCTTGCGGTCTCGCTGCGTCAATGCTTCAGAAGTTCGCATGAATCTCCTCACACACAGAAACCACAGCTGCCACAGCTGTGATCCGCAGCTTCCATGGTCGCGAGATGGCACCTCAACAGTTCCCCTTTTCCCCCCGCCTGCGAAAGCAGTGGGGTCGGAGGACAGAAAATCAAAGGCAACACCTTGCAAAGTCTGCTATTCGTGATGAAACATCCGATCGATAGGTGGAAATTCAGCTGTCTCACCGAAACTGTTTCCGACTTGACTCCAAGCAGCCAGCAGCCGGGGCTCGAAGACCTTGCGCTGCCAAGGCTGTGTCACTCCAAGCTCTCAGGATGATAAAAATGCAAAGCAGGACTCAAGTGGTAGGTGCTGCCACATTCTAGGCCGGCCAGGACGGTACTGCATCGGCGTCGCGGCTTAATAGCAGCTCATCAGATTGTGAGCAGAAGAAGAAGAAGAGCAGAACGTCCGGCAGAGTGATTTCACGAAAGTTAGCGAGGTCGCCACGACTTTCGCTACATTGAGTCAGACAGTGTCGTGGCGGCACCCATTTCATTGCCCGCCATCCCAAGTCTTCGGCGCTTTTTGCTTTGTTTAGCCTTGCCTGGCAGGTTACTAAGCTGGTGACTGGGAATGGCTCGGAGTGAGTGGGCGACGAGCCCCAAGAGTGTACATACGTATGCTGAGAGACAGCAGCTTTGTGTTGCCCTAAACTCCGAAACCCTACCTCGAATCCTCAAAGCAAACCCTGACCCCAAGATCCGAACTTTTGCTGCTCGAGCCGCTGTCCGGCAGACATGGACCCCTTTCGGCTGCCTTACATTCGGACAAGAGGCTGTGCGTAGCTTGGGATAAATGCAGGTTCAAAACTGTCTACCTGCCCATCTATGTGGCTAAATCGATGTTTGAGGCAACAACGGTGGTGGTGACTGGTAGTGAGAATGGTAAGGCGATAAACAGCAATAACAAGTTCAACAGCCACAGGACCAACAACCAACGTAACATTGTTAATATTGTGCGTACTGACTGCGAAATGATATGAGTGCTGCCAGTCATAAATATGCTCGTCTAACCGCAATCTGTGGGTCCACTACATAGCATCATGCCAAGTAGACTCTGCGTGCTGCATAAGACTACATGTGATATCTGGCATCACTCTGCGTCTGTCTGAAGCCACTTGTCCTGTGTCCTAGCGCGGTCCCAATGCGTGTCGGACCGATTCAATTGTGTGGGCTGCAGGGCTTCGAAAGGCAGCGTTTCGGAGCCAGGATTGGGGCATGTCGAGGTTAGGAGTTTTCAGACGCTAGGCCAAACACCCAGCCCGAAGCCCCAAGCAAAAATGAGAGTAGGGTTTTGGGGAACCACACAAATAGCATAGCTAATTATCTTGGGGTATATTATACTATAACACCATAGTAAGGAACCCCCAAAATAGTCTATATAGGTAGTTATCAATTAAGGCAGCATCGGAGGTTTCCGGTGAAAGGAGCCCTGAGAGACGAGTGCCCTTCCCAACGCGAGGGGATGTGCCAAAGGGAGGACCGGGGGCCGGTTCGGGGCTCCGGGAAGCATCGGGCCGTACCAAGACCCTCCACTCTGATGTAGGAGCCCGAATAAATAGAACTGCAGTTATAAGAAGGAGCCTGGTAACACTCACACATTCAGGCCCCTATATTACGCCCCTCGAAGCGCCTGAACCCGAAAACTCAAAACACGCAAGCCTAAAATCTCATCCCTCCACGCCCCGTTTGTGAAAACGCTCCCGGAGCCCCTCTCACATGTGTTTCAGCGTTTGATTCTGTGCAATCGCGCGAGGGGTCTGCGATGTCCACCTGTGGCATTCGAAGTTGCTGCGCTATGCCTCCAAAGCATAAGCAGGTTATGGCCATTCCTATCATGACTATCGCTCGTAGTGTTACAGTGTGACCAGTGTTGCTTGTCTGGTGCATCTACTTGCTCAGTCGGATGTGTTTGCCTTGATTTTGTGTTTGTTTTTCACTTGTGTTCACGCTATTTCGAGATTGCGGCAAGCATGATTCTGCAGGTGATCGATCCATGGTGATCTTTGTGATGTTCCACCCTTGACTCCTTTCCGATACATCGTGAGTATCTTCGGTCTTGTCACTTGCATCCTCATCCTGCTTCTCGTGCTATATCAGCGTTTGCCTTTGAGTTTGTGGTATGTGTATCTGGCGGTGTCCTGGTATGAAGCCAGCTTAACGTGGCGCAGTTCGCATTAGCTGCCGAAGCTATCGGCCTCGCAAAGCCATCATTTGCTGTGGCTGCTTGTTATACTCGCACATGGATACAGATGTCCGCCGCGAAAAGGAAACTTGCACGTGTAGGCCTTGAAGGTCTTGCGCCAGTTGATCATCGCCAAACATCGAGTGCAGAAAAAGACAGCAACAGCTTCGCCAGAGAGACAGAGAGACAGATAGAGAGAGAGAGAGAGAGAGGGCAAAATCCAAACGCCGTTGTGTGCAGGTGCGCGATTTCGCTTTGGCAGAGCAGCTTCTTCGAAGAGCCCCTTTGGGAGGGGCGCAAGAGTATGATCTTCGGCTCTTGCTCGGAGCTGAGGCGTATCATCTCGTTGCATGGTTCGGGGTTTAGAAAGGGTTTACGGGAGGCGTCTCGGGTTTCTGTAGCCAGCAACTTCGCTGGTGAGAAGTGCGACTGTCCTCCGAAGGCAGACAGCCGATGGCCTTGTGCTTGTGGCTCTTGTGATGGTTTGGTGCCGAGGTTGGCCTTTCCTGGAGCCAGAGATCCGGAGCTCTGGAAGTTTGCAGGCGTTGAGGGCGGCACACACACCTTGTCTCACCATAGCTTCGAAATGCCACTCGAAACCCAACGCATTCCTCACTGAACTCCTCTAAGCATCCAGCCTGAGACGCAGGCACACTGCCTACTGCCGCACTACAGCTTATGCGACCGCTCTGGAATTGTCGCATCAAGGAGGCCTGCGCATTCTACGAAGAGCACCGGCGGAAGCCCTGCCATCAGCACACACAGCTTGGTAATTATCATGTCATACATACACGCAGGACGACGACTGCGAACCCCTTCTTTGGCTGACAGGTTCTGGAGGTCGGCTTTGGTCCAGGCTGCCTCTACTGCAGTCAATGGCCCCAGTGTGACCCGAAAGACATGATAAGGACGACAACGGCGATGATGCTAAGCAGCTCATGCTGACCACACCACGATACTTTGCAACGGTTTCTGCGAGAAGTTCGTAGGAAAGCCACAGAGGCGGCTTAAGGCTTCAAGTTCCAGTGCAAGCAAAGCGTAAGCAGGCGCTATTCCCGAATCCTTCCGAATGAGTGTTGTTCAACTCAAGACCTGAAGCTTTCACGTTTGGGGACCAATGCCTGGCTCGCCCAGGTGGAGACGACGGCACGGTCCGGGTGTTGTCGCTTGCGACTGCGCAGCTTACCTGGGCTGCATGAACCTGAGCTCGTGTAGAACCGAGAACAAGTCGAAGTTACGTCGCTGGTGGGGCCAACATCTCGAAAGAGCGGTGGTTGTCGGGCTCGGGTTTCCGGATATTTTGGGTTTAGGGTTTTGAAGAGATATCGCAACTTTACAACAGGTACACAGCAAGAGTGGGGACTTCATGCAACGTTACAGGCTGGTATGCTCTGGCTCAGTTACGCGCCCCAGGGAGTAGTCAATAAACGGGGAATGGCAGCAACCCTACAACTGTGGGGATCAGGGGAATGTGTGGCACAGCTCTCGAACATCAGACGGAGATGTTTGATCTAGTTGGGGCTGCCAGGCATCGGGATTCTTGCATCTTGCTGAACCTCAGAGACTGCACTCGTTGCCATCGTGTTCGATTCCTCATTTCATCTTGTGATTCCTGACAAATTCAGGTCGCCTTGGAGCCGGGTACGCTCCTTATGTGCATGCCGTGCCAGCGGCGTTGGGTTTAGGCTACTGGCCTTTCCTCTTTCCACTTCCCAGCTGCCAGAACAAGCGGGTGTCTCTGGTGTGATGTCGTGAGTTCAGCGATAAACGGTGTTTTGGAGATGAAGGTTTTACGGTCAACTACCCTTG